CTTGCGATCCACTTGACTGTCCTGGACGCGCGTATGGAGTACTATTCCGAGTCAGATTTGGTCTTGTTAGTATCGGTCCCCTGGAAGTCTGTTGCTTCTTACGCTGTTCGGCTTCAGCCATGTTCTTCTCCAACACCTTTGCTCTCTCAACCATTGCAGGAAATGAACGGATACACAGGCTGGAGATTAACACCTTTAGATCGCTCCTCAAACCATTCTCAAATTTTCTACACTGCCACTCCGCACTGGTTGCCATGGTATTAAAACAAACCAAGTGCTTAAACTTGTTCGTATACTCAGAAACGGTCATCCCTCCTTGTGTCAACTGTAGGAACTCCACCTCTTTGGCGAAACGGACGCTATCTGGAAAATATTCTTCATAGAATTTGCTTTTGAAAACTTCCCATGTAATAGGACTGTGAGCGTCCGTTAATATGGCCCTCACGCTCGCCCACCAGTGGCTCGCTTCTCCAGTCAGAAGGTATTCTGTGAATGCTAAGCGGTTCTCATCTGGGCACATCTTAGCGTTATAAATCCTTTCCATGTCACGCAGCCACTGGTCTGCCTCATCAGGAAGGCACGTCCCACTGAACTTGGCTGGGCGGTGTTGAAGGAAGCTTTCCAAACTCCACTCAGCATGTGTCGTAGCATTAGAAGAGGACGCCCCCGGCGTGCCCCTGGTTTCAGCAAGAATTTCCATTAATTGCCGCTGTGTAGTCTCAGAGCTGGCGCGAGCGGCCTCCAAGCTCTGCATGGCGTTCTGATTCTGCTGCATCAGCGTGGCATTCTGCTCCATTAAAGTAATATTTTGATGCTGCAGTCTATCAATCACAGTCTCCATCAACCTTGTGCTGTTGGACGTATCGGGCTCGTTAGGCTGAGGTGGAGGAGGGAGTCTAGGCGCCATGTATTCTCTGGACTAGAGAAAATGAACGTTAGTTATGTTCAAGAGTTAAAAATAATAACTCATTAAACACAATAAGTACACAGCTAAAACGCAGTGCAATCATAACCTACAGTGTCCTTTAAGAGAACAAAACTGCTCTGATACCAATAATGTAACATCCCAAAATTATACAGTCATCAACTATATACTTAGAA